CTCTGTGTCCAGAATGCATGAGAACTAGGGCCAGATTCGCCTCTTGGGAGACCAAGGCGTCATGCCCGGCTTGTAACAAAGATGACTCCTTGTAAACCAGAGTGACGAATTTCCTAGAGGGCAAAGAATATGCCAGGATTTCCTGCAGGAAGGGGCCGGGGAGGCCCCATCCTCACCACGTAGGGACAATGGCATCTCCTGACTCGGGGTTAAGAGGCTCACTTCACTGCCCCCGCCTCTAGGTTTTATTCTGAATGCTGTATGGAATAAACATCCCCCGAAGGTGATGCAATCCTGGTTTCTTGGGCTGGACCGCATCTAACCTGCCTCAGATTGGGGTGGGGCTCGGACTTGGGCAGACAAGGTGGCTCCCTGTGGTTATTTGTCTATGAACAGGACCCAGGAGATCTGCCCATGGCCCCAAGGCACCAGGTCCATTTCTTTGTGGTCCTCAGCAATCTGCTTCGTCACCACCGATTTACAGAGAGGCTTTAGGAGGTCTGCTTTCCTTGGCAGGCAGCCAGCGGAGCAAGCTTACAGACCACAGACTCAGTCTTAAAGCAACGGGATCGTGGTCAAGACTCCAGAATATTCTGAACCACGAGGTCCTCTTGCTGGGCCCTCGCAGGTCAGGATTGTCTTACCTTGAATGGAAATTGATTCGTGTTCTGATTAGCACTTGAATCTGATCACCTGCATCCTACTCCCTAGCTCAGGGGCTTTCAGTTCAGGCTGAGTCCTGCACAAAGGTCCGTCTAGTCAAAACTATGATTTTCCCAGTGGTCAGGTATGGATGTGAGAGTTGGACTGTGAAGAAAGCTGAGCACAGAAGAATTGATGCTTTTGCACTGTGGTGTTAGAGGAGACTCTTGAGAGTCCCCTGGACAGTGAGGAGATACAACCAGTCCATCCTAAAGGAAATCAGTCCTGACTATTCAGAAGGACCAGTGCTGAAGCTGAAGCTCCAATACCTTGGCCACCTGATGAGAAGAACTGACTCATTGGAAAAGACCCTGATGCTGGGAAAGGTTGAAGGCAGGAGAAGAAGGGGATGAAGAGGATGAGATGGTTGGATAGCATCACCAACTCAACAGACATGAGTCTGAGTAAGCTCCGGGAGTTGGTGATGGACAGGGAGGCCTGGTGTGCTGCAGTCCACGGGGTCACAAAGAGTCAGACACAACTGAGCGACTGAACTGAACCAGGCTCCCTTCCCACGTTGCTGGCAAGGACCTGAGTACCAGCAGGTTAAAGTGTTCTGAGAAGCTGTGAGATGACCATACTGTTCTCATCACTCCTCAGAAATATGATAGTTCCGCTTAATTAAGACTCTCCTGTGCTCCCCAAGACTGTGGCCTGGGGAAGCCCCCGTCAAAGTCTATTAGGAGCCATCCATCCTTTGCCAAGGTCATGTTCATCAGCAGGCCACGGGGGCCGCTTTCTCTGACCAGTGCAGTCAAACTCAGCACGTGACTTTAGGCAGATGCATGACAGATGGCCCTGCTCCACATCCCAGTGAGTCTGGAGCATCAGCGAGGACACAACACACCTGCATCCTGCTTCATCCAGGAAGCCGTCCCTTCATTTACAGTCCTAAGACACTGGGATCACTCCCTTCTCAGGACAAGGAGAGTATTTGTTTTCTCTGCTGTTTCTCCTGCAATGGGATCACTTACTCTTCAGTTGTTATCTATTTCACATGTATATCTCCCACCTCTCTAGTTAACTTGAGGCTTCCAGTTTGGGACTCTGCAGGATAGGATGATAGCTTTACATAAATTCAGGCTCCTCTGGCTAAAACATTTTAAGACTTCTTGTGCAAACTCTGTTCTTTTTGCAAAGTATAAATGGTTAATTTCCAAGACCAAGGCAGTCACTCCTGGGACTATGTTGCCTCTTCCAATGCCTCGAATAGTTGAGAAAATGAGGTTATAGAGCAAAAGAAGAGCTTAACTTTTGGCTTGTGCTGAGGAGGCAAGCATTCAAAACCCTAATCAGTTTAAGGAGATAAAATTCCCACACTGCAGAGGCCTCTGGAAAGTCACTGTGTACAAACCCAGATCAATTACCTAGAGAAAACATCTGGGCGTTGGGAAACAAGTCAGCCAAGACTGAAATCTGTGACAAGCTCATGAATCTAAGCTCGGAACAGACCCCTAGCCTGCACTGATAACTGTCAGATTAGAAAACGGTGACCTAAGGCATCAATATCTGCTGAGGAAATCTGGGGGATATCAGACATTCTGTCAAGGAATCTCATCTCCATGGAACTCAGGACTTTGCCAAAAGAGATTTGGTGATTTACACTGGACATATTCCAATTTCCACTGGTGGATTCTCAATAACCAATATGTTCAAGAGTCCCTCAAGGGAGCATGTCTCAGAAACAATGAGTTGACACTCTGTCCCATTTAGGTAACGTTTACTCCCCCCAAGTTATGTGACATTTTTCATCCTATTTTCAAAAACACCTCAAAGGTCATTTAACTTTAGACACTGGAGAACAGCAACACAGCCCCTATAAGAACTGAGAACATGCATCAGTAGCTCAAAAGCAGGTCTGTGGGTTGAGCCGCTCGAGGCAAATTCTGTGATGCTCAAGCCTTTATTCATTTTGCATTTACATCCAATCAGCACATATAGGACTGGCTCTGAGAACAGCGGTGGGAGATGAGGAAGACCAATGCCTCCTGCTGACGTGCCAGCCAAGAATACATTTCTTTGTTATCTGACCTTGGGATGAGAGAAATGGAACCAGATCTGAAGGTCCGGCTCAGGCAAGCTCTGGGTGTTTCCCATCGTTAAACTGATTATTTTAACATCACGTCCAAGACAATAAGTGGAAGTTTAAAATTTCCTCTTTCAGTGAGAGGAAGGCCCTCTTCCCGGCTCATGCTATGTGAATCATGGGACCTGAAATATTTACACTCAAGGGGAGAAAAGACAGAGCTCCGATTTCTGTTTAAAGGATATAATCCTAAATCAGTTAGCTGTTCCTCTAAATCTCAAGAGGCTGTCTGAATCCATTCAATCATTACAGCCTTTTAAAACACAAATTCAGGACGGTTTAACCCACCGCTTGGCAGTTTTTTATTTAAACAGTCTTTATTGAATAATAATAATAAGGTATAAAACCCAAAGTGGACGATGGAGGAGCCTGTTGAAGCAGCATGGCGACCCCGTGACCTTCCCACCTTGACCTTCCCACGCCTGAGTGGAAGGCAGGCCTACAGTGTGTGTTCCCGGGCCTGGACACGCACAGACCTGGCCTCCACTGATGCAACGGCCAGAGCAAGGGCTTCCACACGCTTGGATGTGAAAAGAAACACTTAGAGCCCCTTTCCTCGTCGGGGTGGTGTCAGACACCCCGAGACGTGGCCTGCCTTCTCTGAAGATGCTTTCACCAGCTCTGAACTGACGAGGGCCAGGCCCCGGTCAAGTCAGGAAGAAGTCGGCCAAACATATTTGGAAAGCCACACCTGGATGAACGTACTTCCTCATATTTAATGAATATAATGAATCCACTTCCTCATGTAAGGGGGAGATTTGGGGTTAAAAGTAAAATGAAAAATAAGACTGGAATAGGATGTCTGAAAAGCACCAGGGCCTGAGGGAATGCCACCAGGGTTTGCAGCTGAGGGCAGAGAATGAAAACCGAGAAAGCAGGTGGAAAAGACACGTTCTCTTCACAAGCGAGAAACACCAACTCCACCTCTCCCTCCCCCAATTCTGACGCTCTAAGCTACAAGAAAAGCACAGTGATGCTGATAAAGGTCTCCATTTCCTATTTGTTGAAAGTTCCACTTTCTATAGTTTGAAGGATTTCTTTGTAAGCTCAGTGTGCTTACAATTCAAGTTAGACACACACACAGAAAGAGTCTTTGTGACACGAACATCTTGCCGTTACTCTCGAGGATGCAGCCTGGAACTAGCTAGAGACACTTCCCGAGGAGGAGAAGAGAGATGACAGAGGGGAAAGCGCGTGCTGGAAGACAGGAAAACGCTTCCATATGCTTCACTGACCCAAAACCTGCCCAGGTGACCGTGGTGGCACCACCTGCCAACAGACTTTTTAAAAGGATGATGCTGGTACATCAGCAAACGGCTGAAAAGAAATGGGACAATTTTCTGTAAAGTAGAATTTGCTGGATTTCAGAAGTGTGAGCCTGTGATTCAGTGAGCCCTGCGCAGACCAGAAGGGACGGCTTGCCCGAACGATACCTCCAGCTCCCAGAAAGCGGGGAAAGGACCGGGGGCCTCCCCCAGCCCTTCCACGTGGCCTCAGCTGCTGTGGCCCAGCGGCCATGCTTTCCCATGGTTCCGCCCAGTTTCCATGGTGACCCCCACACAGTGACAGGATGCTGCCCTGTCCTGGGGTGAAAATCCTCTCTCCAAACAACTGAAAGGCATAGACCCAGCCTGCCTTCAAGAGAAAATGATCTTCATACAGATTTGTGATTCTTAAAGTGAGAGGGCAGAGCATTGCTTAGAAAAAAATACTGTAACTGTACATTTGGGAAATGATAAATAGTTACTGTTTCTGTAAATAAATCTTAGACAAGTATGTTACGAATGCAAAACTGTTTAAAAATTCTGATTTGAATAGAAGGCTCTCAAGTTCAAGAGCAACTTTTTTTTTTTTTTTCAGAAAAAAAAAAAAAAGCTAAGTTTAGTCCTCGTGCACTAATTCCAAAGAATGCTATTGACTCAACGGATTTTCTGCCAATACACTTGTCCCTCCTAGAGTCAAAAAAGGAAAGAAACCAAATCGCTTTTTTAGCGTTAACTGCCACCAATAATTACAAGCTTTGGGGAGGAGCAGTCAAGATGCCTCAAAAATATTGTTGAGCCTGGTTTTGCTTCATTTGTATTGCGCTGGGGAAATGCCTGAAATGGTAATAAGGCTTCAGCATGACTTGCTGGTTGTTCGGTTGCTCTCAAGTCATGACTTCCACAGTGACGGTGACCCGAGGGATCGCTGGCCTTGGAGGGCTACTCACCTTTTGTCCTTTCACGCCGTGGCAGTCACACTTCCCGCAGCCAGAGCCGGCACACCCACCCTGGAAGGAAGAGAAAAGAGCTTTAAACAGAGGAACACCCGAGCACGGAGGTGCAGGTTTCAACCGAAATGCTTTTGGCACCTTCACTATTTATGGGAAAAGCCCTACCCGGGTACCAGGAGCCCGATCTTAACACACACACTCTGTGGCCTTGTCCTCGGGGGCCGTCCTGCACTTGCTCAGAATCCATCTCTGGCCCTGGCAAACAGAACAGCAATCCCCGAGTGGAACACATCAAAGCATCACTCAGTCCAGAGAGGGGAGGCTGTCACTGACACTCTGAGACATGGACTCTCTCCATTTCTCACCACCCCTTCTTGCAAAGGCCCTTCTGATGCAGGACTTTCAGCCCTGAGACCACAGGAAACTCAGAGTGGGGAGTGGGGTCCACGCTGTGTCCCTCGCATCCCCAGGACACAATGACACGCAAAACAAGCAAAAAGGAAATGAATAAGCCCAGAGCCTAAATAACAAAATTTTAATTCCTATCTAACAGGACGCGTATTACCATTCCCACTTTATAGATGTGAACTCTGAGTTAGGAGATTTAATATAACAGCCAGGACAAGGTTGAGATGAACTCAATTCAATTCCCATCATGGAAAACTGCCAACGCATCAGAAGACAGACGATGCAATTTCTTTAGAAGAATTCAAATTCGAAACCAGAAGAGACATAGACATTGTGGACAGAATGGAAGAGGGTGAAATAGGTAGAATTTAGTTAATGAGCTTTGCGAGCAGCTCAATATTAAGCCTGAGATCAAGTGCACACCTCAATGCTGCTTCTGGCACTATAGCTTCTGGAAAATATAACCATACTGTTAACAGGATTGTGATTGCATAAAGCCTATTTTTTAAAAACAATACACTCGTCTTGGTTCCAATGCCTTGGAAATCTTCTTCATAAAACAGCTACATCTGGAAATATTTATTTTATAAAATGAAATCTGAACAAGCGCCTCCAAGACAGTAAGCTGTTCTTAATTTTATATTTTGGAAATGGGGACAACTGACAACAGTTCAAACAGACTCCAGACACTACAAATCTATCCCCCTCCCTGATTCATCTTCCAGGCAATTTTTTCAGCACGCACTCCCATAACCTCCTAACAGTGTACATCAATCCACGCACACAGTTTTGCTTCAGAATCTGGGTTTGAGTGACCACTTACAGCTGTCCAAAGAGATGAGGCTAAAACCTGAAACCCGTGCTCCAGAAATTCATCCGAAATGCACAAACATTAAAGAACCAAGGGACTGCAGAAAAGAGCCTTCCCAACCATCCCCAAGAAAGGGCTCACTGTTCGACCCCGTGCCCATGACATGCGGACCACACCACTCTGTTGTGACAGGCCGAGGCTGAAGCTCCAATACTCTGGCCACACGATGCAAGAGCCGACTCACTGGAAAAGACCCTGATGCTGGGAAAGATTGAGGCAGGAGGAGAAGGGGACAACAGAGGATGAGATGGTTGGATGGCATCACCAACTCGATGGACATGGGTTTGAGCAAACTCTGGGAGACAGTGGAAGACAGGGAAGCCTGGAGTGCTGCAGTCCATGGGGGTGCAAAGGGTGGGACACGACTCAGCGACTGAACAACACTGTGACATTTATCACGTGTGTGACATTTATCCTTGGCGTGTGTGTCTCCAGGACCCTGAGAACACTTGGAGGGCGGGCCCGGAGAGTCACACCCAGCCTAATACAGTCCGTATTTCACCTGCAACCACGTTGGCTGTAAAACCCACCACTGACCAAACCACAACACCCCGTCAACTGCTGGCTCTGCACCAACCCCGGAGGCATTTAAGCACGGACATACAGTCTCCTGAAACAGAGAAGCAGGCGTGTGACCGCTGTTGCTTCGATGGTGGTGGCGGCGATGCTGGCGTCCATTGAATCGACTTCAAATAACAACCCCAGATGACAAGCCTGCGAGTCTGGTGTGTCCGCTCACAATGCAGGGACCACACCGCGAGAAACCACTGCAGAAAGGAACTCGGCAGTGAGTGGGGGACCGCTCCAGATCCCCAGACCGCCGGGGAGAGCGGAGTTCGCTCTGCCCAGGCACTGCGCAGAGCTGCTGGGTTAGCCCCCAGCCAGGCAAGCCCCACAGGTGAGGCAGCTCCAGGTCAGCTGGGCTCCAGGTGGCCTCCTCTCTGTGACGTCTCCTCCCCACCAGGTCTCTGCCTCTGAGGTGGGCTCAGAAACCCACACGTGCTCCCTGAACTCTGCTCAGTTCCCCAGGAGAAGCCGATCAGGCTAAGACCCATGGACTGAGGACCTGTCCACCCACCGCCCAGGCTCACTGGGGGGCCCAAGAGCAACCCAGCGGGGTGTGGTTTCCTAACCGCAGCTTGACAACAGCGGCCTCAAAACCAGACCAGGTAGGAATCTAGCGACCAAAGTTGAAAATGGCCATTTGGTGATTCTGAGGTTTCCTCTCCTGAAAGGCTGATAAAAATCTCAGAAGCTTATCTTTATTCAATTTGAGGAAGGTTATAAAAGTGAGTTTCCTGGAACTGTTCCCTTAAGCTATCAGCAAATGCCTTAATTGCGGGGGACGCCAGATAAGAGGTTAGAGGGCCCCCAAGCTGGATGCTGAGGTCAAGTTGTTTCTTGAGCTTTTGCTACAGAAACACACCCGCAAATTTCCCTTGAACAACACTCCAGGTCATGACAACTATTAGATGAAATCAGAGATGAGAAAAAGAACTAAAATCTCATTATATCCCTCTTACAGAAATAAAGGACCTTCACCCTGCTCCCACCAGCTTACATCAAGCAAAAACAAAATTTCTCAATCCCAGACAAAAGACATTCATGTCTCCTTATCTGCTTTATTCACGTAGAAAATTTTATTACCACTTCTGGCCCTAGAAGACAATCCTGAAGCATTGATAATTCAAAGAACATCTAAACGATGGGCAACTTTTCAGAACAAAAGGCATTTTTAGAATATGATTTTTGCTTCACAATCTGGGTGGCCTAGCATTTTATGCACAATGGCTCTTTAAAAAAAAAAAACTAATTTTTAGAATAACAAACAGAGATCATGAGAGACACATTTACTTTGCTAAATAAAATCCACTTTGAAATACTGCTGTTCTGGCCAATACAATGACCTACGCTGGATCTCACCCTGGCATGTAGAGTCATTTCGGCTGTGACTCGAGGGTGCCTGGCTGAAAAGGGCATCAGTGACGTGCTGAGCATCCCTTCAATCTGCCAGACTGTCTGATTTTGCAATAGCTCATTAAATAAAAGCCCACAGTAGTGAGAGTCTCAACCCTCCATCCTGAATCACTGTTCGAAAGGGCGAACGAAAAAATGGCATGAGTTACTCAGAGTCACAATTTGGTTGGGGACCTAACATGCTAAAGGCCGTGTCACAAGCTTCATGACTTCCTGGGGAATTACTTTCTGTGTCTGGACCTCTCCGCAGAATCAAAAGAGACAAGGCGGCCCCACTGGCTCCAGCAGCCGTCCGCCCCGTCCCCCCACCCCTCCACCCCCCGCTGGCTCCAGCAGCTCCCTTGCCGCACGTCTGAGGGGGTGGACAAGGCCTGCTCATTTTTCCTGAGGTCTGGAAGATGCTGGGCTCTGAGCAGCGAGCCCCCTGCCCACGTGCTTCGGCTTCTGGAACAGGGAGAACTTGTACTCTCTGGCGCGCTCACACCCACCCCTCTTGCCTGGCCCCTCGGCGGGGTTCGAGGTCAAGCAAACCAGCCCCCAGTCCCCCGAGGAGGCCCGTACCTTCTCCCCGGGGAGACACACACGCTGAACCTACAGTCCCGGCTGACCAGGCTGGTCAGGAAGGCCGTCTCCCCCTGGAAATGGGGGACATGGCTGAAGATCTCAAGATCACAGCGCTGTGGGTCTTGGTCCGTGTCTTATCGGGGTGGCCAAAAAGATGGCATGGGAAAACCCAATCGAGCTTTCTGGCCAGCCCTTAGACGGAGCGCATCCATGGCCCACAGCGACACAGGTCACTCAGACTACGTGAGGGTAAGAGAAGCCTGCAAAGTCCTCAGGGGCAAAAGAACCACCATTTGAACCCCTAAGGCTGCAGAATAACTCAGTGAAAACCAAGCCGATCTTGATGGCCAGCAGTTCACCACAAGAGCATAACAAATTCCGTCCAAGTGGAAGCCAACCTGAATTAACACTATCTGAAAGAGAAGAAAAGATGACGGCAGCTCTCAGTGAAGTCTGTCAGACACACACACCCTGACGGCAGGGGTCAAGCCTAAACATCACACATAGCACAACTGGAAAGGAATGGCGAGGAACAATGTCAGCAGGGTGCTTCTATATTCCATACGAGGCTCTCTGCATTCTTCACCAGAGGACAGCTCAGTGAATGGAATGCACATTTTCTTTCATGCCCCAATTAAGAGTTCCCAGAAAGTCAAATCATCAGAATTAATGCTATAAAGTATGCTAAGTTCTAAAAATTCCCAAAGATTTACGACACACAGTACGCCCGCCAAAGAAGGAAGAGGGGTGAGGGGGGTCAGAGACTCTCATTCAAAATAAACTCAATTTCCGCTCTTTCTCTGGCCTGCAGGCTGACCAAAAGCGGTTCTAGGCTTGCTAATTCCATTTAGAGAGACTTTTTACCTAAGCAAGGAAGGCAGCTGCCACACTATTGTGTGTGTATATGTGTGTCTCCGTGGGTGAGAAAAAGAGAGAGTACCCAATCAAGGTAATTTGTTAACTGTGACATATTTTCCACAGGGAAGCAAGTCTGAAATGAGTTAAACAGAGTGAAGTCCTCAATTTTCTGCGGTTCTTTCCCTGCTTCTGATGGGAGATAGCCCTTTACCAACCCCACTGTAACAATTTTTATGTGTTTCACATCCCACCAAATAGGGACAAGTGGATCTCGGCCAAGTCTAAACAGCTTATCTTTCAAATTCCTTTTCACATTCTCTGCGCTGTGCAAAATGTCAGAATAGCTTTGTGGTGATGGGACGAGCCCCGTTTTCTTCCT